TTTTTTTTTTTTTTTCTGTGTGGTTCAATTCTGTTGACAGTTTATACACCTGCAATTTTGTCCCTAAGAGTGATTCTTTACCTAACAGTTCCCCGTCAGTGCAGGAATGGGATAATATACACGTTTCTTCACATTTCCCCTAAAGATGCCGGATGTCTTCCTTAATGACACAGATACAAATCCAGGCTAACTCCATTGACGTCAATGCTGTTAGCTGGGTTTTATTAGTAGCAGATCGATATGAAAATCAGTATCAAGCAAAAATTCAGAGAGAATAATGCAAACACCCACACAGACCTCCCACCAAGGAGCTCCCGGTGCTGCTGCTTCCCTCATTTGCAACGTGCTGCTTACGCGCCCAGACCCCAGCCTCAAACCAGAGCTCTCCTTTGCATCATCTCTTCCCCTCTTGAGAAAGAAAATACCGTGCACAAAATGCATCTAACATCAGGGTGAAGAGATAAGATTAGAAGTGGAAAAAACAGCACTCTCCTGCTGCAACCTGAGAAAACGCCGGGGCCCTGAGAGCAGGAACAGGCTCTGCAGCCTCTCCCCTCGCCTCGCTGGTGCTCGGCTGCTGCTGTTCAGGGCCAGCCCTGATACCGTGCACTGAAGTAACCTTGGGGCCGAGCATCCTTGCTGGCAGAGCTGTGGCAGTGCTGGACCCCTGTGCGTGTGCCTGTGCCAGCCCCGCACCTCGCTGCTCCCTCTGTGCGGACCCGTGGGGCCGTCACTGGAAGCTGCTGGCATCCTGTTTACAGAAACCTAGCAGGTGGCTTTTTGCCGAGGCCAAATGGCTAAGGAGACTTAGCTCTTTAATTAACAGCAGTTCTGAAACATGTGCAAGCAGACAGACTGGTGTCCAGAAAGATGGTTTAACATGAAATGTTTTTCCCCGACATCAGAAGGAATGGCTCCCTGTTTACTAGCAATGACAACCCTCTCTTTCTTGAGTTCCTAACCCAAGATGTTGTCCTTTTTTCTTCTGAAAAACATGAAGGAGTTGCAGAAGCTTGCCATTTTACACTTCTCTGCCACCTTAAGGAGAATTCGGTCTGCTGTGTGACCAGACAACTCTGTTCCAACTGCTCCTCACCAGCTCCAGGCCAGCAGAGTCCGGCACCTCCATGGAATAAAGTGAGTGTCTTCAAAATGTGTCTTCAAGCACAATCAGCCTGCCATAAGTAATCAATCCCAATGACACCACCAAATTTATGAAACCTAAGCTGAAAGTTAAGCACACAATCAGAGTTTCACAGGTAAGGCTTTAAAGAGCAATGTTTTCAAGCTGCTTTTTATTGCCTTGCCTTCTGGGTTGTCTGTTCTACAGCTTCGTGGCTCTGTGGTGTTACTGAGTGCTGAGGAGTCAACGCTCAGCAACAAGCCTCCAAGGCTCTTTCTGAGTAGTGTTTGAGAAAAAAAGAGCTGCCACACTTCGGCAAACTAATTGGTGGGTCTGCTGCTTCTGTTCTTTCTGTCCTTGCCACTTCCATTCCCTGGGAACGCAGAGTTGCTGTGATAATTGCTGCATGGCAGCTATCAGATGAGAAGACAGCTCTGTTGCAGATCACCACATCCACTACTTTCCTCTAATACCTCTGCTTTTCAAACATCAGGGTGAACTTGCACAACTGGAACCCTCCCATGTGCTAAGCGTTACCCCATCGGACATAAATCAGCTTAACTCGGGGCGTATCGGGACAGCAACATATCAGCTGGGCTGGAGACAAAGGCGGAGATTAGGATCTCCTAGTGAGCATCTCAGCCCAAAGAACAAGGAAGTTCTGAGCAGGGAGGAAGGATAGTCTTGTGCATGAAAATATAGGATAGTCTTGTGCATGCTTTTTTAATGCCTCCTGAGAGCTGCACCCTGTCTGTAGACGACCTCTCTGGAAGCTTTGCACTGTGGCTGTGCTGGCTGGGACAGCCTCTACCACAGCAAGGGTGAATAAAAGCACTGAGCGGGTTATTATGCCACCGCAACCACTCCAAATCACTTCTCCCTTATCTTTAGCCACTGCCTCGCTACAAGCCTTGAGCTACACGCTCTTGGGAGCGAAGAGCATCCTGGCATACATCTGCCATATCTGGCTGAGCGAGGCCCTGACCTCTAATGAAAAATGTTAAACTCTAGCTGCTAAAAGTAAAAGCAGGCAATTTGACTTCTTATACACACAACAACCATCAGGATTTCACACCCTCTGAGCTCCTTTCATCTGTTTGTGCTGCCCCAAGTGAGCCCAAGCTGCTCCCGTTGTGCTGGCTGCTGCTGAAGGCTGTTGAGGTGCGCTAAAGCTCCAGATCGCAGGCTCCTGGAGGAGGATGTAGGTTTGTAAAGCCAAGCTAATGGACCTGCTGCTACACCTTCCACCTGTGAAATCAGCGCGTTCACTGTGGTACAGAGCGAAGGAGGTCACCCAACACCTACGGTTTCCTTTCCAGGTACCAGGAGTTTCTTTGAAGTTTTGAGAAGATTGCATCTAAATCCCAAGCTGCATTTTGAATTTGTACTTGTTGCTTGTAATCAGATAGCAGCAGCAATAAATTCAGAAACCTCCCAAGTCAGACTTTTTCCTTCCCTAAAGGAATGCTAACAAACTGAACCCCCGTGTTTATTAGCTGGTGGAATCCCCAGTGAACCCTCTGAGATGGAAACATCGATACGTTTGTGAGGATAGGGTGTGAAGTGCAGCACAGAGCCAGCAGTTTTGCCCTCTGCTAGTGAAGGGGGCATCATTTGTAGAACCACATGTCTGGGTGTGAGGGTACAGCTTTAGTGAACACTTAATCTGACTGCCCTGGGGGCTACTACAGAAAGAGCATTCACCCACTGTACGCTCCCACCCTGTTGGCACCGAGCCTACCTCATGTAGCTTTGCTATGATTTCATCAATTTGCTAATCCCGCAGAAAAGTATTTCCCAATTTCCCCGCTGAAGGGAACAGGTCTAGCTTGCTGGTCACTGAGTCTGGGGTGGAAAAAACAGATAATCCCCTTCGGTGGCAGCCTGCAATTAGAATCAAATCCATTCCAAAACGAAACTACCACCACCCTGAGACTTCAGGGTGTCACGGCTGATAACACCCAACCCCACAGCAGCCGTGCCTCAAACGTCTCCCAGTCATGTTCTACGTGGGGAGCTGACCCTGATCTGCAAAGCCTCATCTCAAATCATCAGCGTGGAATGAGAGATTATTTCTGGGAAACAGCACTGACTTATGCTCACTAGGAATCAGGCTTGATGAACTCCGAGATGGCACTGCCCATCCTGCAGAGAACTCGTGGGCGGTCTCAATTAAGGGACCTCAGCATTTCTCAGCACTAGGGATGACAAGTGGCCCTAGGAATGCACAAGGCTTCTCATTTCCTTCACAAGCAGAAATCCTGCTCAGAAAGGCAAAGAATACTCAAACCTTTGCCCAGGGAATTTGCCAGTGTACAAGTACCCACCTCCCATTGGGACATTTAAGTGACTAGAAGGGGAACCTTCAGAAAACAAAACAAAACAAAAAAAGTCCTGTGTCCCTTTCACCAACCTGACTGGCAGGTAATTGTGAATTTCACTTTCTGAGCATTATTTAGGCCCATTAAGTCTATTGACACAAGCTAGCATGAAGACCATGGCTGAAACTCCACTGCAAAGTATCATAGAATAGATCACAGAACATCTAGTCATCGAGTCCAACTCCAGACACCCCTGGGTGCAGACCCTGTCCCTAACCCCCAGCCTGACCCTCCCCTGTCCCAGCTCCATGCCATTCCCTCGGGTCCTGTCGCTGTCCCCAGAGAGCAGAGCTCAGCACCTGCCCCTCCGCTCCCCTTGTGAGGGAGCCCCCTGGCCCAGCCCTCTTTATTTGTCAAGATCTCCCTAGCAGGCCTCCCTGTCTTAGCATCATTTATGAAAACACTGAGAACTGGCCCTAGAATGGAGCCCTGGAGAACTCTAGTAAATGGAAACGTGCCTGATACTGACCCCATTTACTACACCCCTTTGAATCCAGCCAGAATTAACAGTATTTTTGAAATACAAGCCCTGTTTAAACACAAAGAACAAGTTTCCTTTTAAATTTAAAACATTTAAATTAAGTCATGTTTTGTACAATTGCAATAACATCGCTGTCTAAAGGAAGAACATCTACTGAACCTTCATCCTGTCTTGTAACATGGTTTGCCAGATATGCTAGCACTAAAATATAATTTGGTTCCCAGATTCCATGCAATACAACAGTATTGACAGCCCTAGAGAGGAAACCTTGAAGCTCTTGTGCCTGTTGTAGCCAGCAAACACCTTTTTCTTCATCTGATCCCCAACTCTGCTAAAGCTAGTAGGAAAAGCAGCTCAGTGTTCTGGAGCCTTGGAATGCCACAGCAGTAAATCTCACCAAGGGGAAAAAAAAAGTTGAGATTCTGCTTTCCAGAACATCACACTGTCAGGGCACACCAAGAGCTAGCTACAAGAAACATTCAGGCTCTGTGAGCTGTTTATCCGTGTTTAACAGGCATACCTTGGCCTATGCTTCTTACAGGTCAAAAGATTCTGCTCAGTCAGTTGTTTCCTTACTTAAAAGTACAAAAGTTAGCCTATCCCTAAATGCTAATCCTCAGTTAGGCAGTTTTTAGAATTGCAAAGGTCATGCCCAGTGCTATGCAGGTCAACGTTGCAGCTTCCCATGTTCAAGGAAACTGATCTCACCTTCTTTCTTTCCTCATCCTCAAATCACTTCAGTAGGGTGCTAGGTATTCAGGCAGTGCACTAGTTCAGTGAACAATGGCAGTGATATAACTTGTCAGACTACTGAAACCCATTTAATGAATTATTCACATAGTAAACAAGCACTTGTGCCAAGCATGTGTTTTTTAAGTAACTTTCTCTCAAACTTGACTTTTTCAGTCCAAGGCAGAGCTGTCACACCTAGCCCCACTGCAGGGTTGATTCCATGATGTAAGTTGCACCAAGTCGTATACTTACTTGGAAAAGAAACAAAGCTTGGAGCCCTGAGTGAAGATTGACCAAAACCAAATCCTTTATTTCCACAACTGTATAAATGTGCTCCAAGTATGTGTCCAACACAAGTTAGAAAAACAAAATAGAACATGCCATTTGCAAACTAGAGCCGTTCACCGACGTGCTGACTCCTTGGTATTAGGCTTAGTTACACAAGACCAGTCACAGTAAAAAGATACATTTTAGAGTACAAAGAGTAGCAGGATGTTAAGCCGCCATTTCAGCTTGCGCACATACAAGTCACACTTCTGGCAGAAAACGCAGAGAAGTTTGATTATGCTGGAAGCTATGTTGCATCACTTTAAATGGCATCAATATCAATGTCATCATCTTTACTGTTTGCAGGCTTCACAGTTTCAACTTTAGGGACACTGGCAGTTGTAGAGTACACCACCTGTGAAGACAAGAGATTTACCTGTTAGCACTTAATGGCAGGGGGTGCTAGGGAATACTTTGTCTTTAATATCAGGAGTTGCTAACATCCTTTGTTGCCCTTGTCTGTCAGGAATTCCTAAGTGAGTCCTCCCAAACACACCTGTCTTTAGCAACTAGAGGTGCACGTTCACGTCTTTAAGAAGCAGGGTTTCAACCAGGAGCAAGCAATACAGAGAGGAACAAACATGCATGCATACAGCTACCAAATTTAACCTAGGTCTAAACTGTAAGAAAAACAGCCATTTCTTCCTTAATCAGCTTTACTAACACCTCCTTCCAGGCTCTTCTAAAACTCAAGGTTTCATACTTGCCAACATGCAGAGCAATACTTTAAGTGAGCTATTTTACAGCGTACTAAAACAAAGTGCCCTGAACTATACAGAGCAGTGTAATTCCAGGATTACAGGAGGCAAGCCTTTCCTACCTCTATGTTTTCATCTTCATCCTCTTCTTCATTACCGGAAGATTCTTCTTCAGCTTCCTTTAGCCATTTAATAAATGGTTCTGCTTTGACACGGATTTCTTTGGCAAGCTCCTTTGAGACATATTTCTTTGAGGCCTGAAAGACCAAGTATACAAATCCCTTTAGTATTTAAGCCCAATCTGTATCAGATCATACTGAAATACACCAAGCCTAACCTCACCCCGCTACCTTGAACAAGCCATTTTTTAAAGACATTTCTCCCAGATAACCATGCTAAAGTAGGTGACTGTTTGAAGACATCTGCCCAAAAGACTTGACCAGAATGGCAGAAGCAGGTGCAAAACATACATGGCACATTATGTACCACCACTCACCTTTTCTGCCCAGCCAAGGATGACTTCTTCTTCCAGAAGATCTGCATCATACATTTCCTTCAAAATATGTGGTATCTTAGAAATAAGCTGAGACTGATGCATGGCTACCACACACTCAAAGCCATGGAGGAGGTACCTCTGAGCTTTCTTGTTATTGTGGCAGAACTACAATGGTGAGGAGAAAAAAGAAAAGCAAGAGCAGGTTAAGTTAGCCTTCTTCTCTAGAATGAGTTGCTGCTTCTGCTTACAGCTCAATGAGGCAGCAAAATCTACAACAGCTCTTATTATTCCTCCCAGCACTTTTCCCAAGCTGGGAAGTACTGGTTTAAGAACTGCAATAAAGCCATCCCTCCCCTAGTAAAGCAATCCAGAACTGACTCCAGTAGTTATCCCAAACACGCAAGTTGTTACATTGAGTGCAGAACAAGAGGTTGCTTACACGAAGGAAGTGACGTCTGTATTTCCTTATCTGTTCACGAATTTTTTCGTCGAAAAGGACTTCAGTGAGAACTAGAGGGCCCATGGCCTTCACATCCAGTCTCTCTGCTTCTGCTACAATGTCTTTGTCAGAAGAATCAATGACACCTTCTTCCTTCTTTTTCTAGAAGATAGAACAAATACATGTTTTAAAGCCACTGGAGCTTGCATTAACACTCCAATGAACTCCGCTTCCTGACCAATGGTCGAACCACTACTTTTGTACGAGTTTAAGCCCTAAAACTCCACTGCGTGTGTGTAAAAGCAGCTTGCCTTTCATCTCCTTATTAGCATTCTACACAACTACAGCTGAACAGTGAATAAATAAATATTCACCTTCACAAAATCAAACAGTATGTTGACTCTCTCCTCCACTGTTCTTTCCAGGTCTTCACTAAGTGTGAGGTTCTTTGCATGGTCACTGATTTCATCCATTCTACGCCTCTGGGCTTCTTCTGTTGTGTCTTCACCCCAATCATCATCATCTTCCTCCTCCTAGAAACAAAACAGATTCGCAGTGTTACCACAAACTTATTAATCAGTTGAGTTTTCTCTAGATACAGTTCTGAGATCATTCTTAGGAGTAGTTCTGACTCTTCTCTATAGAAGGAAAATGTTACACAGTGATCAGCTAGTCAGAGACGGAGAAAGGATTGATAGAGGAGACTAAAAGGAGACTAGGTGTGCATTTGTAGACATCTGCAGTTACTGTGCCATGCCTCACTACTCTCTCCTACTGTCATTTAGATACAATCCAAATCTTGTGAGGAGTAAAAAGTATGCAGCTGTCACTCAGCAAGGAGCACATATACTGAAAAGTTGGTAAAGCTACTGTAACAGATGTGCAGGGATAATTCTATTGCAGCAGTTGGCTTATTATAGTACCACTTTGGTGATGTTGACACCATACACCCTCATCTGCCCATATTCCCTTCTACTTACCACAACCTGTGGAGGAGTAATCTCCTCTGGTGGTGGGGGTGGAGGTGTCTCATTGCTGGACACAGAACCATTCTCTTTGTCCTTGCCTTTTCTATTCTTCTTCTCCTTTTCTTTCTTCCCTGTACTAGTGTCGCCACTTTCTGAAAGTGAACGTTAGTGTATTAGCTTTCTCGATTTCATAGATACCCTGCAACAGCACCTCTGCTAATTCCCAGGTAAACTGAATCAGATTCTTTTATTCACAGCAGGTGATGCACAGTACCTGTCTCCAGGTGCGCTCACAAGATAATCTACACAGCTCTTAAAGCCATGGTTCTAGTGGAAGTCTTGTTTCTCATCCTGGTGTAAGGCTGTTCAAGTCCATATAACAAGTGACCTCACGAAGCAGAGATCCCCGGAATAGGTTAGACTTTTCTAATTTAGCAAGCTTAAATTGCAGCAGGCAACCAAATGCTTACCACAGAGTGTTGCTTGCAAAAACAACTCCATTACAGTTCATGTTAACTACACTAGCCTTCCACTTCGTGTGGTCTTAAATGGAAACCTGCAGTGAGCACCTGCTGATATACTTCATCCCAACCCACAAACGTACTCTAGCAGTACACCAGAGCAGTTTTACAGTTGTTAGATACCAATCATTTGCTCTTTTTACTTAACAGCACTGACACCAAAAAGGTTCCCTTTACCACACGCCCTCCCCACAAACACAGGAACACACTTACCAGGTGGGTTTTTGAGAATGAACGTGCAGAGTTTATGGTTTGTGTCAAGCATGCCTCGATAGCCACAGGCTTTGCAAGAGTTACCTATAGTTTGTTTCTTAGGATTGACATGCTGTAAGAGAGAACAAGCTCCAGTTAAAATACTATTTAGAGAACAGATATACATTAAAGACTAGACCTGCTATTTACTTTATCATCTCCATACCATTAATCCAGAGATTTACATGCTTTTAATCAGCCCTAACAAAGCTGAGTTTAAACATAGCAATTTAGCTCAGGACCGTAAATCTAAAACCTGAAGAGGGTTTTAGATTTCTTAATTTCACTAGATATTAGAATTAGAAATTAACTAAACTAATAAAGAGAAGTCACTGGATTTCTCTCAATTGGTATCTGAATCAGCTTTTAACATTGCACCACCTTCACAAACATCAATGCAGTGTTTCTGTACTGTTAATACAGAGAGCACTCACCAGATCAGTTTCAGGATTCTCACACTCAGGACAGAGAACAAATTTTTTAATGAATCCATCCAACATGTCTTGCAGCTTATTCGCCTCATGAGATCCATTGACAATGTAACGGTCATTCTTAACATCAAACTGGGTCTGTGCTCCCAGCTCACAACCAAAAAATTTGGTAGGATCTGCAAAAAAAAAAGAAAAAAAATCATAATAATCAATGGAGTCCTTGGGTCTTTGTTGTTGATTGAACTGTCAGTATATCTACTCTAGGAGCCACTGCTCCTTCCTGATCATTACTTCTTCCTTAATCGCTTTTTCTTAAAAATCTTGAAAGAATATTAGTACTTTATTACCTATTTATCACTTCAAACGAAAGTGAAAGCCTTGAAAAAAAAAAAAAAAACGCTGTGTCACTGCAGACTACTTACACGTTGGAGGCCGATTAAGCGCCTTTGCAACGTCAACCATGTTGACTATAACCGTCTTTATTCCATTTCCTTTGCCCTCAACCTAAAAAAAAAAAAAAAAAAAAAAAAAAAGTCTTTTAAGTTTAAATGACCACAACAGCCCAACCCCATGTATACTTCTAATTTAACTACATCTACGTTCTGCTTTGAAGTGTCTTCTTAAGACGAGTTAATGCACACTTACTCTGGACAGAAAAATGCAGTCACCCCCTCCCTACCATTGGCTAAGCTCAGTGTCACTGTCTCCATTCTGCTACATGAAGAACAACTAACCCGACACCCTACCTACTCACCACCAGTGGTTAGTAAGTTACCTTGGCAATCAGACGGGGCATTTTGTAGCGATAGAACTGATCTGAAACACTGCGGTTGACGTTGACAGACATTTTGCCTTATTAGTAGCTTTATCAATAAGATGAAGAGATCTTTGATTGCAGTTTTTTGGTATCTTCTGTCTGGAGAAGACGGGATGACATAAACGACTGCAAGAGTTCTCGGTCTCTGACATGAAAAAATTTTCGCCACTGAGGCTGTAAGGTTCTTGCTTGTATGCTATGTTTCCCCAATACAGGTACCAGTGGCTGCGCAACAGCTCTGCAAGTGTTAATAAACAGAAAAAAAAAGTGAAATTTATCTTTATGTACACCAATGAAATCTTACTATAAAGCTATATCTGGGACTCTGTTTCTGGGAAGGGGAAGTAGAGCTCGTTATGCTGTGGCTTTCATGAACTTGTGAAACAGAAGACAATAGCCTTGAATTGTACTGCCGAGGAACTCTGCCTCACCTACACCACACAGCTTTCCACCTTTCTTACAACCCCCAAACCACTAAACAGCTTAAGAATACTGTCTGCACAATTAACTCCTGAAGGAGTGCTGTGATCAATAAGGAAGGGAAAGAACACTGCTCAATTTAGGAAAACCAATGGCTCTCGCACTGACAGGGTCACGTGGTGTGTTTCAGGCTGCAGGGGAGAGAGAAGTGGGAGAAAAATCTGGAACGGTTTCAGATTTCACATCATAGCATGAGCCTATTACATAAACCGAAGCCCGTCAGAACGTTGAGAAATGTCAGTAAGATGAAGCAGCAGCAATCTCTAGCCCAATATAATTTTTACGTGGCTTACCAGTTTTTTGGATCGGAGTAGAAAAGAGTTGAAAATTAGGTAATTCTCCCTCTCACTTATGGATTCTCATAGCAGCTTCTGTTGAGTTTTGACTTAATAGTAAGCCTGATAAAGTCTGACATAAGTTGCTTCACTGTAGAAAGCCTAGCAATGCAGAGGTACAGAGCAGTGCAGCAGCTTTTCCAGTTTTTTTTTTTCTTGGGGGAAGGGGGAGGAGGAAGGGGAAGGAGGATGAATCCTATTATTAAAGTTGCCTTAAGCAGTATTTACATATTTAAATTAACACGTGTCCCTATAATCAGATCTAACATTACGTAAACCACAACTGGTTAAGTTGACTAGACAGGCAGCCCTGACTACAGCATGGTTATTCTGACACGTCATCACGTTATCGTTAATGGCAGATGTGTTGACACACGAAAATAGCCTCCTTAGCATTTAATGTGTAAGAGCGTGCCTATCGATCCCACACAGTCCGAGTCCCTCTGGTCAGGTTTACAAATCCTTTCACGAGAAGTGTGCTTTGCATATGCCATGTATTCTACATTAGCCCCGATGCAGTTTTACCCTTCAGCAAAAACTGCACCGCTGATTTTGTTCAAAGCACGAGGCTTCCTTCCCCAGGATGTCTAAAAAAGAGCCACCATGTGATCCGACCGCGTGCTTGCAGCGGCACTGAGGAAGCCGGTATCTTGGTGACCGAGCATGAGCTTTTTAGAATGCGTGGTTTCCCCTCCTTCCATATTACAGCTTTTGTCTGTCTGCTGTAGACTAAAGCTCCCTCTCCTGGTCTCTAAGCCACCTCATCCCAAGCACACACCCCCTGTATTTATTGTGCAGAGCCCAAGAAGCGGGAAGGCAGACAGCCTCCCAGCTTCAAAGCCCCGTTTCCCCGCCCCGCTCAGGCCTGCGATGACTCATAAATGCAGCAATTAAGCACTGAGTCAGCCCCGGAGAAAACCGGGGGGGAGGTGTGGGTGTCACCTCCAGCCACGCATGCGCTCCCTACCAAGGGGGGAAGCTCCCCAGCCGCCCCCAAAGCCTCCCTCCCCTTCCTCGGGGCTTACCCTTGCCGATCGGGCGCCCCCCGCCCCCTCCGTGGGGCTGTGACTGCGGCACAGCCCCCCCAAAACGAGCGCCCCCCCTCCCAGCCCCAACCCCCCCAGCACGGGGAGGCGCGGCCCAGCCGCCGCCATTTTGTCTCGTCGCATGGCGCGGGGAGCTGGAGGGGGGGCACGATCAAAGGAATAATCCGCGCCCAAAATTAAAAAAATAGCGAATAAAAAATATAAAGGGTGATAAATCGTTGTTTGAGGTATCTATATCTTCATTTCTAGGAAGATCCTACGGTATTTTGTTAAATAAATTCGCCTCCCCGCCCCGTCAACACCGCAGGCGCCCCCAGCCCCGCAACGACCCCGTCCCTTCCAGCCGCCCTCCCCGGCCCCTCCTCGCCCCTCAGCGCTCACCGTTTTCGTCCAATAAAGACATAAACCCAACGCTGCTCGCCCCGGGCTGCGACGAAGCCGATTGTGCGAGGAGAACGAGGCCGTGGGGGCGCTTATATCCAGCCGGAGGAGGAGGAGGCGGAGGCGGACTCCGCAGCCTCCGGGTCCGGGCGTCCTGAGGCGGGCGTGCTCAGCAGGGGCAGCAGTGCCGGGCGATCTGCGGGCAAGACACAACCAGGGGCATCGTTAGCGGCGGCACCTGTGAGGAGAGGGGGGGAGGAGGAGGAAGAGGAGGAGGAGGGGGGAGAAGAGGGAAGGGGGGAGGGAGCTGCGGCGGCCGGCGGCGCGCAGCTCAGGCAGGAGGGGGCGGCTGACGGGACCCCGGCAATGGCTGCCCCGTACTCACCTCTAGAATGTTCTCGCTCTGACTGAACAACGCCAAAGCTGGGATCAATCAGCCAGCGGCGCGCCCCGCCCCCCCGTCCCCCCCATTGGCTCGCCGCTCGCTCCGGGGAGAAACTATTGGCTCGGGGCTCGCCGTGCCCTTTTCTCACTGGTTCGTCTCGCCGTCAATCAAACCGCCCCTCTCTTTGCTGCCCTCCCCCCGCCCTCCCCCCCGTCAGTGCCCCAAAGGACATCGCGTCTACGCGGGGCGGCTCTCGCGAGATCGCCCTGAGGGGCGGCGGGCTGAGGCGGGGGCTGCGCGCCTCCCGCGGCCCCTTCCCCTTAAGCGTGTCCCCCACAAGCACCCCTAAAAACGCCCCCAAAAGCACACAGACCCCCGATGGAAGGGCCCTGGTCCTTCTGCCGGCTCTGTTTCCACACAAAAAGGCCCCGGCCCTCGTGGCAGGGTGCTCTGGGCAGGCCGTGGTTTGTTGGGAAGCGCGACCTGCAATGCTGGAGGAATGACAATTTGGGGGGGTGCAGCTTGGCATCGCGGCAGCTAATTGGTGTTACAAACGCTTCTAAACAATTAAAATGCTGAATGCGTTGTGTTTTTTTCCTGCATGGCCTGCTTTCGTGTGCAGGAAAAGGCCTATTTATTGTCCCTGTCACAGCGACTCAGCTTTGCATACCTCCGAGTGCCGGGGCTACCTTTGCCTCTTACAAAGGATACTTCAAATCCTGCATGCACCTAGCTTCAGCTCTCAATATAAAACGTTGCCAGCCCTCCTTAGCGTAATCGGCACCCTAGATAAAGCAACTTTGGATTTATATGTTTTAAAATCAGGAACATGGGTCCTTTTTGGTGCTCTATTCCCTCCACGACCTCCATCTTCAGCCCTCCAGTATGACAGGATTGCATATTTTGGGTGTTTCAGAACATAAATGATGTTGGCAAAGAGCTTTTTTAAACTTTACCTACCAAGCGATCAATCAATGCTCTTGCCTCTTTCAGTGCTGCCAGGCAGAACAAGAAGACTCCAGTTCCTGTCACTGGCTCAGTGAACAATGTTGGGAAGCCTCTTGATGGCTACGTGGGTGTATAGGGAGAAAGAGGTAACAAAGATAAAAATGAGTAGTGACATTATATACTGTCACTTACTCTAAATTTCTCCCTAAGTTAGTTTTGAAACATAGTTTTCCCATCTGACTTGATAACGTGTTGGCATGGTCAGAGGAAACCGCTCATACAGAGCCTTAAATATACCTTGAACATTTTTGGTCTGATATGCAAAAATACGGCATTTAAATAGTAACGTGACTGATAAATGAGATTTTCCTAGAAATCTCAAAAGAAAAGCTGGGCTATTGTTATGGACACACAATAATAAAAAACTTATTCTTTCAGCTAGAGCAGCAGAGCAACAGACCTGGAAGAAATAAATGTGCATATCCATCAATGTTTTCTAACAAGACACTACATCATGGTCCTAGTTGTATGTTTCCTTTTAGCCCATGGAATAACAAGTCTTTGCAGCCAGGATATCATCTTGTAAAACATTATGTTAAGTCTGTTTTAGGCTTCACTATCTGCATTTGAAAAAGTTAAAAAAAAAAAAATCAGGATATTTTAAATGCCTCCTTGCCTCCTTCAAGGCCCTGTGCAACCTGATCTAGTGGGTGGCATCCTGGCCCATGGCAGGGGGTTGGAACTGGGTGATCTTTAAGGTCCCTTCCAACCCACACCGTTCTCTGATTCCTGTGATTGATAAATACACAGCAACACTTTTTTAAACATCAGAAAGAGTGTAAGCACAAAATAAGGAAGTATCTCCCCAAAGTATGTGATGCTTGGAAGTTATCATGAGGGAGAGAAAATAATCATAAAAAAGTGGGAGGCAAGCAAAGCACAGCAGGAACTCCTTTGCTGTAAAAATATGCAGCATGTATAATTTGCTAAATGCCTCCTTTCTGCGGCTTTAGTTTCATGCTACAACACCTCTGAGGTTAATAAATTACAAGTGTTAAAGCATACCAGTGCCAACACCACTTTATTGAACAGCAAAAGGGAAACAAGCCCCTGGATTTGGTGCTATTTGACATAATGAGTAACTCTGAAGATTTATGATTAGTAGTATAGAGAAGGATTTTTTTTTTTTTTTAATTTTATAGTATATAATTGACATTGAGTTAAGAGTAACCTTTTTAGATAGTCTTCCTTCTTCAAACAACAAGTCCCATACAGACGAAGTCAGAAGATATTTTCTCACATTATACAAAATAGACTTAAACTTGTGGATTATCGTCTCTTTAGTCCCTAGTTGCTGTTTTTCTCACCAGAAAAAATTCATTGATAGTTGATGTTGAATCCCAGATACTTTTACTGAATCATAATATTTATGGTTTGTTCACTTTAGTATCTGGTGGCTTAGGACAGGACAAAATATCCTCCTCCCACTGTAAAATCTCATGGTTTCTTGAATCCTGAAGTTCATAGTTCGCATTGCTTTTGTGACCTTCAAGATACAACCACTTGTGTGCTTTGCATTTCACAGATGTAAACGAAGCAGTTTTTATATATAATCCTCCCTTGTAAAGACATTTTAAATGGCATGAGTAAGTCAGGTTTTGGAAGTGGCCTAATGTTTGAGAACAGGAAGTTTTCGGCAGTGGATCTTATGGTGTGTTTCCGTATCACAGGAATGCTTTATTATGGTTCAGTTCAGCCTTGGGCTATTCAAGTTCTTTCTATGTTGCCTTAGTTTTTATTAAAAAATACCAAAGAGTTAATGTCTGTGATAAGGCAGCAAAACCAACATTCAAGAATTAATATGTCTATATTTAAAATGTAAATCTTCAGAAATTGTCATTTAATCACAAGTGTTTATATTTTCACACAGACAACCGTGCATTGTTCTGCAGTTTGTTCTTCAGCTAGTTTGTCATTGTGATGAGGTTGGCTGTAAACATTACCCCCTTTCAATACTCAGCTGGTAACCTTGCTCTTGAAAAATATTTTTTCTCTGCCGTAAGCTGTGTATGATCTCTTCCAGTGGCTGGTTCAGAGCCGATATTTTTTCCAGGGTGGGCAGGAACCCCTAGCAGCTGAGGAGGTGATTCCTCGTTGTGCCATCTTTGCAGCTTTTGCTGCTGCAGGGTGCCCGGGCACACAGTGCTGCCTCTGCTGCAGGTTCTGCTGTGCCCCGTGTCTCTGGGCTCCTCGTGCTCCTGCAGCAGGGCCCTCGGAGGCACTGAAATGCAGCCCGTCAGGGCGATGAGGATGCCTTCAAACGTGGCTGATTTCTGACAGTGAAAAGGCTGATACGTGGAAGCCACTCAGACGTGCTTCTGCCGTATCTCTAGGAATTTCAGAAGATGGAAGGCCCAGATCATGTACATTGTGCTGAACCCTGAATAGCAATACCCTTTCTTCTGCCTGTCTTGGAAATGTGCAGAGAATGTTTAATTATTTACGTGCCAGATTTGAATATGCAACCTCTGTGGAATCACAAGTCCAAATTCCTTCAGGATCGGTATTTGGAAGATAAATACATTGAATAGCTGTGACCTTACTGTTCAGCAGTCATTCCTGCTTTTGAGCAGAATTGGACCCTGATCAGTGGCAAGGGCAGAGGTTTGTTCTGTTCTTGCTGCTCAGAAGCTCTGCAATAATTGCTGCCCTGCAGCAAGCACGCTGTTCTTCTTTTGTGCAGACTTGCTTCATAAAATGCCTTCCTTTCCATGCTCTGTAACATTACGGTTAGCTATTCGCATTAGTAGATCAGGAATTAGTAAACAGAGAAGAAAAAAAAAAAAAGATGAGAGCAAGATACACATATAGCCATTATTTTCCAGCAGTTATTTTTGTGGCTTCTATATCTATGCAGAAGTGCTAAAATATCCCAGCTCGTGTTTGGGTCTGAGTGCACTAGAAGGGCTCGGTGTTCAGCTGGCAGCACGAGGCAGGCTCTGCCCCAAATCTGTTGTTATTATTTCAGCAGACACCATGAAGCTCTCTCCTGCCCTCCCTCTTTCTCTTGCAGCGTGTGGCTGTGTGTGTAAGGGAGGCGCCTCAGCAGCCAGCTTTCTCTGCAGAATATAAACCAGTGCTTGAGAGCTGTAAATGTTAAGGGAAACGGACTTATTTATTTATTTATTTATTTTGGTATCCCAGTGTTTCTAAATCTCAATCTCAATCTCAATCTCAATCTAAATCAGGCAGAGAATATCCTGACTCCCTCTGGATGTTAGTTTGCTGGAATGCCCTTTCCTAAAAAACAGTCCTAATGGATCTTTTCTTAGACCTACTGATGCATCTGGAAAACTAGCAAGCTTCCTGAAGAGATGGGCAATACCCATTTGTGTGTGCTGAGAGAAGGGCTAAGGGCTGTCACGGGGTGGTTGTGGACGCACTGGGTACTCCTCACTGGTGCTCTCTGTGCAAGTATGAATTTTCTAACAAAACCCACGAGCAATAATACAGTGCCTGGGGACTGGCAGCTCCCCCACGTTGTTAAGCACACGTCTCTGGATTTTAAGCAGCGCATGCCTTCAGCAATGCATTAGAAAAGTGGATGTTTGAGCTTTCGGGCTATGTGTACCCAATGGCTATCAGAGTGGTCTTGCTGTCTGTGTTGGCTAGGATAACATAGATTTTCACCGTGGTATTCCTATTTTTTTTTTTTTTTTTTTTTTTTGTTAACATGTGTATGCGTGCTTTGCTTTGCTTGCTATTTTTACCATTCCTGATTTATTTTTCAGTCGTGTACCTTTACCTTCAGCATTGCGCTTGGCTGGTTCTTTGTCTGGGGGAGGAGTCTGTTGGGAATTTTACAGACAGTAGTTCTTTGGAGGACAGGACAAAATAAGGTATCCTTTTGAGCAAATAAAACCAGGCTGTGTTTAAAGAGGCAAATAAACAAAGGCAAACTCACAGAAATGAATGGGGAGTGCAAACGGGGTGGAAGTTCAATTAGGAGGTGAATTCAGCATGGTTTGGGAGTCTGTGGAAGAGGGATGCCCTGACCAGGAGAGCCGTCTTTTATCCCTGTGTCTCAGCAATCGGTGGAAGTGTCAGTGCTAGGAGTCAGAGAAGCCAAGTATCCCTGCTTTGTCCAGGTAGCAGCTTTGGCTACAGGCCCACCTGGCAAATACTAGCATTATCC